ACACATGCACTCCGAGACTCACTCTGAAATGTGGGCACCACCCCATCCTGGGTGGGTTTATGTTCCTATCACATCAGCCATCAAAACGGGGACGAGGGAGGCCGCCTCCCCCTGCCCCCCCCCCCCCCACCACCATGGGGATTCCCCCGGCTGGGCACATAGTAAGTGCTCAGTGAACAGGACTCTGCCTCCTGGGGACACCTGACTCACGGGGCGCTTTACAAGTGACGTTTGATAAGCCTGGTGAACATGTCCGGGGTCCCACGTGGCCTCCACAGTGCAGCCTGGAATTCCAACACCCCCAGGCTCCGCCCACTCCTGGCTCTCGCCCAGCAGCTGTCCCTCCCTGCGCTCTGGACGTGCTTATCGAGTACCAGGCTCACGCCCACTGCCTCTCGTTCCCCCGCCCGCAGGTCAGGAGGGTGTCCCCCTGCGGCTTCCTGGGAACTTCCTCCCCTCAGTGGCAAAGCTAAAGGACAGGAGAAGGACGGTCCAGCTGTCCAGGTGGAACTGAGATGGAACGGCACGTGGCTAGCCCCTGCAGACTGGGCTGTGAGGCCCGCAAAGTGACCGTGGCATTGCAGGAAACCCTCCGCCGCACACACACGGGGCTCGAGTCTGGGACTGCTGGGACTTGGCCATGGGCAGGTGGTCTGGCCCTTGGGGGCGTGGGTTCTGCAGAATCTATCTCCCGGGGACCTAGGATCTGCCCTGGAGGGACGAAGGTGACCAATCAAGGTCCAAGAGAAAGCTCCTGAGAGGGTGCTAGGGTGGAGTGTGTCCCCTCCAGACACCCCTCCAAGGAAAAGAAAAGACACGCTGAATTCCTGACCCCGGGACCCCCGCACGTGCCCTGCAGATGGACTAGAAGATGAGGGAGAACAGAGACCCAGGGACACAAGCCACAAGCCAAGGAACGCCGAGGTTTGCCGGAAAGAACCAAGAGGTTAAGAAGAATCAGGGACCAGTGGCTGGGGAGGCCGAGGCAGGAGGATCGCAAGTTCAAAGCCAGCCTCAGCAAAAGCAAGGCCCTAAGCAGCTCCGTGAGGCCCTGTCTCTAAACAAAATGCAAAATAGGGCTGGGATGGGGCTCCGTGGTCCAGCGGTTTTGGAGGGAGCCTGCCAAGGCCGAGCTTTTGGACTTCCTGCTTCCAGAACCACGAGAGGACACATTTCTGTTGTGTTAAGCCACCCAGCGTGTGGTGACCTGTGGTGGCAGCTCTAGGGAGCTAACACGGGCGGGGGGTGGGGGGCACTGGCCACACACTCGGGACGAGACCAGGGTGAAGAGGAGGCTGGCAGGACAGGCGGACAGGGAGGTGCATCTCGGTCTCCAGGCTGAGAACGAGCCGGAGAAGGAAAGCCAGAGATGGGGGGTCCTCCAGCGCCCCTCGCCAACGTCAAGCACCGTCATGAGAACGCTCCTCCCAGGTCACAGGGGGAGCCCCGCCCCTGGCGTAGCGACCTCAAGAGCAGACCCGGGGGCCTGACCGGCCTCCACAGGATGCAGGCCACGTGGTCAACACCTGCTCACACCTGTCCAGGGCAGGGGCTTTCTACCTCCCTAGGGCAGGCCATGAGACAGCCTGTCCCCTGTTGAAACAAGGCGCTCCCCCCCCCCCCCCCGTTCCTCCTGCTCTGGGAACCACACAGAAGGTGACTGGTCCTTTGGGAAGCAGCCCCCAGGTCACAGGAGGCAAAGCTGATCAAGGGCCAGGTTGCATTTCCAATTGGGGGGACCCCATCATCTGTGTCACTGGAACCCCAAAGCCGCTTGGACCACATGTGAATAAATAAGTTCTACCTGAAGAGAATTCTGTGTGTCGTGACATGTGAATTTCATAGAATTTTTCTAAGTCGTGAGATGTTACGATTCCTTTGATATTTCCCCCCCAGTTAAAAAATAAATCAATGAAACAGAAGAGCCGTTTGGTCCTCAGGCCGAAGCTTGTCCCCTCAGCTCTAGATGTCTCAAGATAGCGAGGGCCCAGAGATCAGAGTGTCTTGGAGGACCAGCGACAGGTGGGAGGAGGGTTATGGAAGGTTGGGGGCGTCTGGGTTTCTGTGCTTGTGTTTGGGGGGCACGATGTGGGGACACGGGGTGGCACAGGGAGAGAGGAGATGCAGGCTCCCTGGACACAGAGTCCTGTTACCCACATAGGTAAAGAAAGGGCGTCCATAGGCTGAGCCCAGGTGGACGTGGAGGACAGGAGGGGGACATGGCGACATGGAATTCTTTTCTTTGACCCCTAATAGGGAAAACCAGGACCAGGGAGACCTAAGTGGCAATTTAGTTCCTGGTTTGGCTCTGGGGATGGGGCCACTGGGGGATGTCCCTACAGGAGATCAAGAGGATCATTTGTCGTGTGAGGAGTGGGTGGGAGTTAGCAGGCCACTGCGTGCCCTTCAACAGAAGCCCAGCAGTGTCTCTCTGAAGGTCCAGGCCCCCGGGGGGACCTTCCCCCTGCAGAGTGGTCCACACGGGAAGCCTGAACAGAGAGGGGTTTGCTGAATATGAGGCACAGACGGAAGCAACTTGCTGTTGAGCTGGTGACTCGTGTCACCTGCAGGGAGAGGTGCGCGCGCGCGCACACACACACACACACACAGAGGCTCCCCTTCACGGGGTGGGTCCTATAGAACCAGACGCAGGACAGGCTAGCCGCTAAAACGGGCAAGTACAAAGTCTCTCTCCTCTTCCACCCTCAAAGGACGAATGACCATGTTCTCCCTCCAATTGTCCCTCAGCAAACAGACCGGGGCCGTGGGAAAGGAGGGGCCCGATTCTCCCCGGATTTAAACAAGTAAGGGGGCTGGGGCTGGGGTGGGGGTCAGGGAACGCTGGAAGCCTGAAGCCAGCGTTCAGTTCTGACTGCAGCGGAGATCTCGGCAGGTGGGGACGGAGGAGGAAAGAGTGAGAAGTCAAGAAGAGGTGACGTGGGACCAAGGAACAGACCCAAGGAGCTCTAATCCCCGAGGCCAAGAAGCCCCAGAGGGGAGGGGGGTGGGTGGAGGGCTGGGCCTTCTCCCTGGATCTCCCAGGTCCTGTCCTAACTCCCAACAGGGGCTCAGGGTCACATGGAGAGTCACCCTTGGGAGACCCCGCTGGGCCTTGACAAGGGTGGTGGTCGGCTATTTTGGTTAATTCTGGAGGCAGGAGAGTCCGGGGCATCAGGGGGCAGGTCTTGGGGGGCATTTCAACTTTGGGGGCTCTGGACCCCGGCTGCCTCCTTCCTTCCTCGTTTCCTCTTTGGGCACAAAGTGCAGGGGAAATCTGGAGTCTGTGGACTGACAAGTGCGGGTGGGGATTGAGGAGAGGCAGGGGCTGGATGGCAGGCACTCAGTAGGTCGCTGGGCACAGCCTGGGTGGTTCACCCAGGCCAGGGACTCGGGGGCTCCACAGAGGGGACTGTTGGAAGGGGGGCATCTTCAGACAAGAGCTCTGGGTGTCTTGCAAGTGCGTGTGAAATGCCCCCAAGACAAGCAATCACCAGGCCAAGAGCCACCAGGACGGATGTCCCCAGAACAGGAATGTCCACTTAGGAATGGCCCCGGTGGGGTTTTGAGTCTCCTGGTCCCAGGCAGGTGGGGATGTGGCAAGGCAAGGCAAGGAGGCCCTTGGGGAGCGCAGGGGACCCCCCCTGGGCCCAGTTCTGGGGAAGCACAAGGTCGCCCTGTTCTTCCCGGAGCTGGAAGCCGACTTGCCCTGGAGCGTGCAGCGGTCTGGGGCCACCCAGGTGGGCAAGGTCCCCGTGCATGTGGCTGGATTCTGGATGTCAGCTCAGATCAGGTTTTGAAGTCTGGGTCTCCCTCCCTGGGAGGGCGATGCGTGGATGCGGGAGGAGCTGTGAGACCACCAAGCTGGGCAGTGGCCAGGGGGTCCAGAGGGACCGTGGGCCGGCCCTGGGCGCCCTGCAGCTGCTCTGCTACCTCTGCTGCTGCTCTTTGTGGGGACAGATTTCCCTTTAGTGCCAGGTCAGATCCATGGGGTCGGGGCTTTGGGGACATGACCCAGAGGCTCTCCTCTCCCTTGCTCTGGGGGAAGTCCAGGCCTTGAGCAAGGGGAGGGATGGCAAGAGGGGACGTTGAGTGAGCACAAATAGGCAAGGGACCCTGGCTCCTAGCAGGAGGCCACTCAGGGACTGCCCAGGCTGGAGTGGAAGGGAAGGATTTTTATAAAAGGGCTCCCTCCCCGCTGCCCCAAGGAGACGTATTAAGGGGTGGAACAGCCGGAGAAGCTCCTCCCAGACAGGACACCCCGAAACCCACCCCACACGCGCCCCAGAGACCATCACCGTGGGTGGGCCAGCTGCCCAAGAGTAAGGGAAAGGAATGTGCTAGAACACCCCCCATCCTAGTTCTTGGGGCCTAGACTTCAGGGGGTGTCATGAGGCCTAAGGACCCCCCACACAAACACATAATCCAGGGAGTCACTGTGCCTTCCAAATGGCCAGTGAGATGAGATAGGATGACCCTCTCCCAGGGCAGGGGACAAAGGCAGGACGGGGCTCGAAAGACACGCAGGACTGTCGCGGCGCACGTGGCAGCTGCGTCCAGAGGTGCCATGCACCGTGCCAGGCTTGGGTTGGGGCCTCTGAACTAGATGTTTCCAAGGGAATGGGCTTGGTCACCCCTGCCCTGCCCCACCCTGGCCCTGCACAGTGGCCTTGACCCAGCTGGGGCTGCTCTTCCCCAAAGCAGCGGGGCTCCAGGCGGAGCAGTCGGGCTGCTCTCGTGGGGCCAGCAGAGCTGGCCTCGTGTGCGCACGCGCGGCACTGACCAGTCAACGTCCTGCCTGGTGGGCGGGGTCTCCTGCCGGCCCCCCGCAGCCCAGGGTCTCCACCTTCAGCCTGGAGTTGTCCTCGCCACACCGTCCCCTGGGCCCCACTCATCAATCCCGTCACCCTGGCTGATCAGGTGGGTCCTGACTCAGGGGTCCCTGCCCCTGCCCGAGCAGAGGGGCGCACGTCTGGGGTGCAGGGCGGCCACGGTGCAGTCGTGCGGCGCTCCGAAGCCGGATGGTCGGGCCCCTCTGGTGGTGAGCTTCTGGCCTCCCGAGCTGGCAGGGGCGGAGCAGGGAGGGAGAGGTGGCTCAGGAGCTGAGGCAGCCCAGCGTGGTCCCATTGTCCCAGGGTCACAGCCTGGAGTGGGGAGAGAAGCCCAGTGAACGGTGACATGGATACAGCAACGGCAGAGGGCCAGGGGTGTCGACGTGAGATGCCCCTGTCCCCTCTGAGGAAAGTGAAAGGCACTCTTACCAACGGGGGACCTACCATGCTCTGGGCTCCGTGCCAAGTGCCACACATATCTGACCTCATTGAAACCTGAGAGCAGCCTGCAGTGTAGGCACAGCGTAGCCCTTTCATGGGTGAAAACTGAGGCCCAGAGAGGTTATGTGTTTTGTTCAAGGATGCACAGCCAGGAAGGAGAGGGACAGGATATGAACTTGGAATGCTCCCGCTGGAGCCTGCAGCCTCTGGACTAGGGATGATTGTCACGGGCTGGGGGGAGGGTCCCCTAGGGCTGAAGACCCAGGCAAGGGTGTGAGTCCAGTACCCACACTATGGACGCCAGTGATACACAGAGACTGTATCACCCACAGCAGCCAAAGCACCTCAGTTCCGTTGTCCAGCACCTGCCTCTCCACTCATGGACTGGTGCCTGGCCCCTGATGGACACTGAAGGTCCCCTGCCTCCTCTTCTTACATTGTTTATGTCCCGCTGTCCAGTTAAGCTCCTGCCCTCTCCTTCCTGACCTCTAGGAGAATAGCGTCACTGAGCGATGACCCAAATGACCCCAGAGTTTTGTAGCACCAGCTTCTCCTGGGTCCATCCCGGGGCTGCGAGCCCAGAGCCTAAGTGGCCTGAGTTGGGCAGGAGTTGGGCTGGAGGCTGCCTCCTCCTCCTGCCTTCCCCCTCAGATCCAGTTGGTGCTGAATCCTGTCAGGCCACCAGAGTAGGCTCACGGTCCCTCCTGGCAGACAAGGACCATCACCATATTGGGGACACCTGCTCCCTGGGACTCACCGTGCCTCAGCGCAGGACCTCATTGTACCCCAAGGCATTCCTGCCAAAGGGTTGCACGGCCCTCATTTTTCAGATTTGAAATGAGCTCAGAGAGACCCAGTGACCTGCTCAGGGACACACAGCAATCAAGCAGAGGAGTGAGCATTCTAATCTAAGCCCTCCTTAGTGTGGAGGGAGGAACTTCTAACTGCCAGGGAGGAAGGCTGAGCCTCTGGAGGAAGAGGAGACTCTGCCCACTAGGCTCAGCAAGCTCAGGGTCAGGATGACTGGAGGAGGGTCTAAGTCCAACCCCTGGGACCTTGAGGATCTTCAGGGGGGGCTCGGGCAGCTGCTCTGCCATACCTGTGGGTGCAGGTGGGGATTTGTGAAGTGCACCTGCGTATACTCATCCACATGTGTCCTCCAGTGTCACGGATGTGACTACCACACGTGTGTGTCTGAGTGTGCCTGTGTGTGCAGGAATGTCCTTGTGTGTGGATGTCCGTGTGTCTACGACTGAGTGCATGTGTGTGAGTGTGCAGAGGCATGTAAGGTAGTGTCCCCAGGTCTGGGGACCTGCGTGTGTACAACCAAGTGTGCCTGGGAGCATCTGGCAGAGCAGCGACAAGCAGGGGCCTGTCTGCCTGTCACCTGGAGAGCTCAGTCATGGAGGCTGGAGCGGAGACCCCCCCCCCCAGGCTCCTGATCTCACCTAGGGCCATGGGCCTGCAGCCAGGAACAAGGGAGGGATGGAGGGACGTGGCCTGGCCTGTCACCAGGAGGAAGCAGGGCGTGAGGAAAGGGAGAAGCTGAGAGACTCCCTGTCTTTTCTTATGCCACGGAGACCGCGTGATGGGCCAGGCTGCTGGGCCAGGAGGATGTCCGTCAAGTCGGTCCTGGTGGAGGGTCCCTGAGCACATAACGGGGGGCTTGGTGGACCTGGGGCGCCACCTCGCCCTGGGGGGCTCCACTCAATGGGCATCAGCCTTCACTGGAGATCAAAAAGCGGCGAGTTGTGTGCCACAGGCCAACCCTGACCTGGACCCCAGGGGACCCCCCGAACCTGTGGGCAGGGCGGCTGCATGCGCTGGGGGTGGAGTTGGGGAGGGGGAGAAAGGTGATGGGGGCCAGAAGGCAGGGCAGTGGAGAGAGGCTGAAAGAGAAACCCACTCTGCAGACTTCCAGAAATGTCCGGGATGAGACAGGCGGCGATTGCGCTTTGGCAGCTTCTCCAGCATGTCCATGAGCTTGGTGAAGGTGGGCCTTTCCTCCTGCTCGAAGGCCCAGCAGAAAAGAAGAATGTCCTAAAAGAAACCAGTGAGTGGTCATTGATCGCAAGTTGTGACTTCTTTATTCGTCCTTGAGCCCTCAGTGACTCTTTCCCTTTGTCTACCCACCTCCATATCCCTACATCCTTCCCTCCCTCCAGCCACCCCCTACCATCCGTCCATCCACCATCCATCCATCCATCCACCATCCATCCACCATCCATCCATCATCCATCCATCCACCATCCATCCATCCATCATCCATCCATCCACCATCCATCCACCATCCGTCCACCATCTGTCCACCATCCATCCACCATCCATCCATCCATCTATCCATCCATCCACCATCCATCCATCCACCATCCATCCACCATCCATCCACCATCCATCCACCATCCATCCATCCACCATCCATCCATCCATCCACCATCTATCCATCCACCATCCATCCACCATCCATCCATCCACCATCCATCCATCCACCATCCATCCACCATCCATCCACCATC